ACGTTCCAATAAACAGAAAAAAAATTTTTTTTTCCGATTAGTTCCCCTTTTTTAATTTTTTATTTTAAGAAGACGAAAAAAATAGAAAAAATCATAAAACAGATAGGATGAAAAAAAAAGAAGTTAATGATAGGTTTGGCGTAGTCGCCAGGGCGTAAATATACATCCAAGATCATAAAGATGTTGGATCTGGCCTACCTACCGCACTATCTTCGCGTCGTAAAACTTTGGCGACCTTCCAGAAAACCTCATTTTATGATCCCTTTTGACGTTTACCGATTCTTTGGTTCTGATTCTGAGGGTTTTTTGAGAATCAAACAAAAACACTGAGATTTTTCTGAGGTTTTGAAAGAAAATTTGAAGATTTTGAAAAGATTCAAAACATTGAAGTGGTCCTTAGAGGGTAATTTTCGATGGAGCACATTTTCTCGATTTCAGTTACTCCATCAAATTTGTTTATTCCTCTTAAGTGGCATAATCAGATTAAGAATTCGGAAGAAAATTGGGAATTTTTGAGAAGGTTTAGAATATTCAAGTGGTCCCTAGAGTGTAATTTTCGATGGAGCACATTTTATCGATCTCATGAGTTTCATCAAACTTTTACTTCTTAAGTGGACTCTTAAATGGCATCATGAGATAATATTTCGGGAGAAAATTGGGAAATTTTGAGGAGGTTTAGAATATCGAAGTGGTCTCTAGAGGGAAATTTGCGATGGAGCACATTTTCTCGATCTCATGAACTTCATCAAGCTTGTTTATTTTTTAAGTGAACTCTCAAGTGGCATCATCAGAATATTTTGGGAAAAAGTTTGAAGATTTTGAGAAGGTTTATAATTTTGAAGTGGTCCCTAGAGGGTAATTTTGGAGCGATGGAGCGCATTTTCTCGATTTCATGAATTTTATCAAGCTTGTTTATTTTTTTAAGTGACCTCTTAAGTGGCATCATCTATTCAGTGCTTTTTCCAATATTTCCTTTTCTGAATGACTTTTGTAAGTTATTTTTTTTTCAACTGAATTTAAAAAATTACTTGGTCGCACGTGGAATGGCTCACGATGCGTCGTGGTTGACAGTTGAATTTTGAATTTTGTCTTGAATTTTTACAGTCCCTTTCATAAAACCCGTATGCGGCTGTAGACATCAGTTGCGTTTCAGTAATCAAGCTTCTTTTTTTTTTGAGAAGTGGAAAAAGTGATCCTTTTAAAGCACTTTCAGACGAAGTCACAATTTTTCTCACCTGACTTCATGAATTTTACCTTGATTCTCCAGAAGTTTTCTTCAAAAAAAACCAACTTTAATGATCCTTAAAGTGTAATACCTTCCCGAAAGACCAGTTTTTCCCCGATTAGAAATCTTTTTGTCATCTGACAAACTCCACCTCATAAATATTTATAAATGACTTATCAATGGCGCATCTTTCCTCGTCTACCATAACCGCAGAAGGCGGCGGCAGCCTCTCTGGGAGCCACGCCTCCAAGGGGGGAAAGATGGGCGGTCGGGTTGCCGATGGCGCGCCTTTTCTCCCTTCTTTTCCGCGCCGAGGCTCCGCCTCCTCTCCTCCGTTCATCGTAAGCTTAATTACGAGCGGCCATTCGGCGCGATTAACTGCCCTGCGGGAAGTTTTTTATTACTCGTTTCACTTTTTTTCTTAATGTTTCTTCGTTGGTGGCCCTTTTTTAATGGGATAATGACTTGGTAATGAGGTTTGAGGGCTTTTGGGTCGAATTTTAGAACTGCTGTAGGAAATGGTAAGGGCTTAACTTGAGCAAGGGAGCTACAAGTTCAATTTTCATTCAAAATTTTAATGGCTTTTTGAACTTTTCAGTACTTTTAATAACCTTGGGGATTATTTTGACAGAAAATTAAGACTTCCTGGTCAGTTTTTAGTACTGTAGTTGAACTGGTTATGGTTTTATGAGATTATTTTGGAGATTAATGGTTTTTATCACCTTTTTAGTACTATTTTTGCACTTTTTAGGGATTTTTAGAAGTTTTTTCGAAATATGAAGGCTTTTAGCTTGTGTTACAGAACTGTTGGTCAGTTCAGTGGCATTTTTAAACATTTTTTTCGATGAATAATAGTTTTTAATTTTTATCTTTAGTACAGTTATAGGTAATGTTAGTGAGTTTTAGAGGTTTTTTTGAAAAAAATTTGAGTTTTTAGGCCATATTTTTTTGTAAATTTGCCAACAAATCGGTATTGTTCTTCTGCCAAAAAAATCATTTATTTATGTTTAATTCTTATCAAGCTGATAGAATATTTTTATTCTGAGTTTTTTTCGTTTTTTTAAATTCGAACTGAATGAAAAACAAGGTGCTCTTCTTAACAAGGTAAATAGATTTTTTTCTAACAGACGAACTTCATTTTTTTGTTGATGATTAACTTGAAATAAGCAAAAAAATAACCTTTTTGAATTTTTTTAAAAAAATGCTTCAGGTAGCTTAAAAAAATTAATTTTTTTATCTTTTGAGGGACCAAAAAGAAACTTCGAAAAATGCCAATTTAAAAGTTTAAAAACTGAACTAATGAGAAGACGAAATTTGAATAAGTGAAAGAAATTTTCAAACTAAGAATATTGAACCGTAAGATCAAAAAAAGAAGTAAATTCACTATGGTAAAAAAAGCTTGTGATTTTTTTAGTTTCTGGTGTAGACATTTTTTTGTAGACTTTGTAGATATTTCAGCTTTTTTTTAATCTGCGAAGCTAAACAATTTTTGAAAAATGGTTTTTTTAATATTTTTTTCTAGAAGAGCAGAAGCTTAAAACACCATTAACAACATTGGAAACGACCTTTTTCCTTGGGACCTTTTGAAAAGTATGCCTTTCCCTAAAATACAGCACAGATTTTTCGGAAATAACGTTGATCCCAGAGAAAAAAAAAACGACGCGAAAGTATAAATCTTGACGTGTTATCTTTACAATACGCACAATACGATGATGCGACGCATTATCATCAATTTACGAAATTGGGCGGCTGGCTGCGCGAAATTTACAGCCCCCTGAACGGAGGACCCCACGGCGGCAAGATCAAAAGAGAAGGATCCAAGAGAAGGAGAGAGGCCGCCGACGAAGAGTCGAGAGTCGCAAGAGACACCCCCCGTGCTACCGCCACCGTCTAGGCACTCCAGTGGCTTTCAACGGCCTCAGGGCCTCTCTATTGCCCTTTTTTTTGTCTTTTTTTAATTTTAAATCTTTCAAACTTGAGACATTGAGAAACTTGAGACAGGAGATCCGCTAAGTTGGAAAGTTTCATGTCCCTGAAAAAAAAACATAACAAACTATGCGAATTTTAAAACGTGCTCCAAATTTGCGTTTTTAAAACTGGCAGTCCTAAATTTTCGAAAGTCACTTTACCACCGTCTAACCACTCCAGTGGCTTACAACGGCCTCAGGGCCTCTCTATTGCCCTTTTTTTGTCTTTTTTTTAGGAGTTTTGAATCGGCTAAGTTGGAAAGTTTCATGTCCCTGAAAAAAAAAAACATAAAAAACTAGCTTTTTAAAATGCGCCCTATATTTGCATTTTTCAAAATGGCAGTCCCAAACTTACAAAAGTCACTTTATCACCGTCTAGGCACTCTATTAGCTTTCAACAGCTTCAGGGCATCTTTCTTGCCCTTTTTTGTCTTTTTTAAATTTTGAATCGTTCAAACTTGAGACACTTGCGGATCGAAAAAAAAAATTACAGAAAACCATACGAAATTTAAAGTGTGTAATTTTGCATTTTTCAAATTAGTAGTCCTAAGTTTTTGAAACTCTAACATCGTCTAGGCACCCCCTTGGCTTTCAACAGCTTCAAGGCTTTTTTATTGCCTTTTTTTTTACTTTTAATTTTGAATCGTTCAAACTTGAGACATTCACGCATTGAGAAGAAAAAACATAAAAAACTAGATTTTTAAAATGCGCCCTATATTTGCATTTTTCAAAATGGCAGTCCCAAACTTTCGAAAGTCACTTTACCACCGTCTAACCATTCCATTGGCTTTCAACAGCTTCAAGGCTTTTTTATTGCCTTTTTTTTTACTTTTAATTTTGAATCTTTCAAACTTGAGACATTTGCGCATTGGAAAAAAAATTACAAAAACTGTGCGAAATTTAAAATGTGCCTTAAAAATGCATTTTTCAAAATGGCAGTTCCAAGTTTTCGAAAGTCACTTTACCATGGTCTAGGCACTCCAGTGGATTTCAACCGCCTCAGGGCATCTTTCTTGCCTTTTTTTGGGCGATTTGATACCTCGAATTTTTAAGAACCGAAAAAAAAAATCATAAAAACCAAAGCTAGATGCCATATTCTTTTTCAACTTTGCGTTTTTTGCTTTTGATTTCAAGCCCAAATTAAGATATTTTTTTGTGATAAGGAGCTCTTTTTTACTTGACCCACAATTCATAGCTTTTAAGAAACTTTTTGACACAAAGAAGTGCAAAAAGTGTAAATTTCTGCAAGCCACGACGCGGCGCCACGGTCGTCATAGCTCTGTGAAAAACTATGAAAACTTCTAAATTTGCTCTAAGTTTGCATTTTTGAAATTGGCAGTCCCAAGTTTTGCTTTTTTCAAATTGGCGGTCCCAAATTTCCAAAAGTCACTTATTTCTCCCACCGTCTGGGCACTCCAACGGCTTCACGGGCTTTCTTCAACATTTTTTTTTAATTTTTTGTCATTTCCATCGAAAAGTGTTCAAAAAACTGTTTTGAAGTCATGAAACTTGCAAAGTTTTCACGATTGTGTAGCGATGTGTAAGATGTTGTGAAATTAATTTTGGCCTCGTTTTATTTTATTTTTCGGATTTGAAATATTGAAAATTTTGGAATTTCAGCTCTGATTTTGCAGTTCCACAATATCTCCCTAGTCGTGTCAGGACTCTTCCAATTTAATTTTTCATTATTTTTTTAAAAAAATTTTTTTGATCTTCCTTCGACTCTGCTCTTATTTCTTCCAATGAAGCCCTTGTTCATTTTTTTGAATCCTTTTTCTCATTTTTCGAATTTTTGCAGGTGCGTGGTGATGAGCATGTACCCGGGGTGGACAGGCGACGATTCCTATTGGACGACGCCGCCGCTGGTCGGCGCCGGCGCCACAGCCGCCGTCTCGGCCGCCGGCGCCGGTGGCGGCAGTTCGGCCCTCAAACAGAGCTACGAGCTCTACAATCAGAGCTACATGAACAACATGAAGAATATGTTGGCCGCCCAATGGGTCGAGAATTCCAATCCGTCGGTTTTTTTCGTCCTTATGAAAGGAAATCATGAAATTTTTTTATTGAATCTTCATTTTTTTGGATAGATTTGGCCATTTTTTTGATCATAATAAGCTTGTTAGAAAGTTTGAGTAAAACTTAAGAACTGTAAGAAAAAAAGATTCAATTGGCTAAAGCAGAAATTTCCGAGTTTAGTAGCCTAAAAAAATCGAAAAAAATTACAACTTTTAAACAAGTTTTTTTGGATTGAAAAAAATTTCATTGAAGTTTTCCTTTACCTCATTTTTTTCAGCTTCAAAAAAATTCTTAAAAAGTCGTTAGAATTCCATTTTTATAGTTCAAGTATCATTTTCAATTTATAGTTTTGGAATAAAGGTAGTTTTTTTCTCGAATAGTTTTTTTGCATTTCTTTTTAAATCGATAATGTACTCAAAAAAACTTTTTTTAAATCATTTTAAGCCTCTCGGAATTAAAAAAATAATGCTTCTCTTCAAACCTTGATCAAAAAGAAAGAAATTCAAGTGGTTAAATTTTTTTTGAAAATTTCTCAAGGAAACCTACACCTCATCATCATTATAATCGGCTGGAATTTTGTTCAAAAGCCTGCAAAAAATATTATCCTTGAGAGGAGTCGAACCTTCGACCTCCAGATCAACGAGCAAAGTTGCTAGCCACTTGACCATGAGCTCCAGCGAGACAGTGACCTTTCAGGTTCGCCTACAATCCCCTGCAAGCCTCGACGGCGACTTTCGGAGAGACGAGGTCCTCCTCGATGCCCCTGCCACAGCCCGTGTTTCCTTGGATGAAGATGGGCGGTACGTTTTTCTCAATTTTTCAATAGCTGGTAGTTTTTGCTGTAGGTCATTAGGCGTAAATTTCGAATCCTGGTGATTTTTCACAAAATTCTTACAAAAAATGTGGTTTAGGTGAATATTTTTGTCATTTCTAGATTTTAGGGCAGAATTGGTTTTCATAAGAATTTAAGGTATTTGTTAGGGATCTTAGTGGGGAGGTCTATGGAAGAAGGGGGTACTTTTTTATGTGGTATAGTGGGATGTAAGTTGGAGTATTGATCAGAGGATCACGAGTTCGGACCCGGCCGGGAACGGAGTTTTGGTTTTTTTTTTTGTTTTTTTAAGCGATTTCCAATAGATTATGTGCATTTGAGTTCTATGAGAACGCTTTGAACCACTTTTGAGGTCATAGCCTAGTGGAGTGTGTGTTTGATTATTGACCAGAAGGTCACAGGTTCGGATCCTGTCGAAGGCGGATATTTTTTTTGCACTTTTTATGTTAAACTTTTTTGAGTGTTTTTTTACTGTTGAGGCTTTCACTGTACTTTTTCTCTTTATTTAGAGACTTTTAATTTTTTTTAAGTTGGTATATTTTCCATAGAAGGTGGCTATCGGCAAACTGATGTAGGAACTTTTCAAGAGAATCTTTTGTACTTTTCACTTTATAAATTAAAAAAAAGATCCAGTTAGCTTCAAGTATTGAAAAGAAGTCATTCATTTTATTTTAATTGGTAGATATTCTTTATGAAAATCTCCTTTTCATCGGCTATAATTTCTCGGTTCCACCCAAAATTATAACAATTAAGTTTCTCCCAGAAGCCTTTGATTATTTCCAAAAAGAAACCAATCACTAGGTTGGATTTTCCATTTTTTTTTTGTTTTACTCATCCCCGCAAAAAAGCGCCGCTCGTCTGTTTTATGGCCCATGAAAGTGTGTGTTATTTTGACGGCAGGAAAACGAGGTGCCGGCCGAAAATCACCCAGAAAAAAAAAAGAAGAAGATTGAGGTGTGGAAAATGTCGTTGACTTTGAGTTATTACATGCCGCTTTTTACCCTTACCTACATATTATTTTTCGCTGCGAAAAATTGAGGGGAAAGGTTTTTTTTTTTTGGGATTTTTCGATTTTAAAGGAAAATCGATGGAGTTACTCCTATTTACCGTTGATTTGAACGATTTGAAAGGAAGGTCTTGACAAGATTCGAAAAAGAGCGTGTGAAAAGGAGAGGTTTAGACATTTCTGTCTTAAGCTAACGGTCAATGGGATATAGCGACTGATAAATTTCCCTATCCTAGATTTCGAATAAAAGGGCCTAGATTTCGAATAATGGCCTGGATTTCGATTAACCCGTTGTTTGGAAAGTTAGGCCTCCGCTCTTTTCCGTCTTTTCTAACACGTTTTTTTCCATATATACCTATTTTAGAGCCATTTTTTGAGATTCTAGTCATTGTACTATCTGAAAACGTGTGGAATTTGTGAGAGGAAAAAATTTTTGGGGTTTTTTGATTTTAAAGGAAAATCGATGGAGTTACTCCTATTCACCGTTGATTTGAACGATTTGAAAGGAGGGTCTTGACAAGATTCGAAAAAGAGCGTGTGAAAATGAGAGGTTTAGACGTTTTTAGCGACTGATAAAATTCCGTGGCCTAGATTTCGAATAACCCGTTATTTGGAAAGTTAGGCCTCCGCTCTTTTCCGTCTTTTCTGATACATTTTTTGCTTGTTTAACTATTTTAGAACCATTTTTTTAACACTCCAGTAATTTTACTATCTAAAAAAACATATGAAATTTGTGAGAAGAGACGATTTTTTTGCGGGAGAAAGTTCGAAAAAAAGCGATAATTCAAAAAATTCATTATTTCGGCTACTTTAAATTTTGAATTCTAGCCAAAAGTTGTCTCGCAGCTTTGAAATTTATTACTTCTTTTTGGCAAGGTTAAACGGGGTTGATTTTCCTATTTCCTCTCCAGAAACCTTTTTTTCAAAATCACTAAAAAATCCCAAGAAATCCATGATTTTCATTTCTCGGACATTCTGCAAAGTCGAAAAAAAACGCAAGAAAAATGATCCTCGATGGGACATTAATCACGCTGAAAAATTGTATGATGAAGGCAACAAATGGCGCTCCATTCCAAAAATCCTACAGTACCCGCTTGGCGCCATCCCTTCGTCCAGCTTCTCTCCCTTTATCACACTCTCTCGGCCCGCCGAAGGCAACACCACCGCCGACGGCCGATAACCATCGGAAAAGTGTGTTTGAGGGTGTTGTCGCAAATCGATTCAAGCGCCCCTTTTCTTTAATGTGTCACCATATTTCGCACCTCTCCTTGTTGGCGCGGCGGTTCTGAAACAGATTCCGTTCGATTGGCCCGTTAATTTTCGACGCTAGAAGAATTACGGCCAATGCGGGTGGTGGAGGACGAAATAGCCGAGGAAAAAGAGCTAGGAAAAAACAGCCGCTGGAGAAGTGAGCTTGTATGCACCATTGATAACTGAGGCTCACAGCGAGCTTTTGTTGAGTGTTCTTAAAGGTAGAGGAAGAAATTACAGTCTGATTGATGCTGAGCAAGAATCCTGAGCTTCTCGGAGACTTGTTGAAGGAAAAAGCAACAAGCTGAGCTTTCACTAGAAGCTCACTAGGGAACGTTTTTTCTCACAAGATCTACCGCGAGAAATTGTTCTCTTGATCTTCAATCAGAAGGTCCTAAAGTACACTTCAGCAAAGTTTCAGCAAAAGTTCAACCGGGGGTGTAAAAAAACGTTCCCTGGTCAGCTTGAAGCAATGGACAGAAGTTAGCTTTTGCGCTCCATGGACAATTTTGTGAGCTCTTTGAAATCCCTGAAAAATATAGCCTCCAGAAAAACACCAAAGAAGATGAATAATTGAATTTTAAGAGCTTCAGGGCTTTACTGATCATTTTCATTAGTTTTTTAGAATTTTGAAAAAATGGCTTCGACAAAATGAGCTTGTGCGCTCTGTGGTGAAGAACTAGGTTGATTAATCAATTATTCAATTTTCACATAAGAGTGATGACGTCCCTAAAGGGGTCACTAGGAAGCTCAGAACCGTCCGGGGCGCATCTGATGTTTAAGAATGAACTTTTTTTGCTAGAATTTTGGAAAAAAACGAAGAAAAGAGATTATAAAAAAATCCTTATAAATATGAATAATCATGATTTTGGTTTTATGGAGAGTAGAGTTATGGCAGAAAGTTTGAAAAATCGATTGAAAATACCATTTTTTCGAGTTATTTCACGAAATTTTAGGGTTCCTGATGGTTTAAAAGTAGAGCACCTTTCAATGATTTTTTTTAAAAATGAGGGAGAAAATTTCCTTGTAAAGAGACCTTTTTCGCACCTGGCGGCTAAATTTTGTCAATAAGGCTCAAATTTGAAGCTCAATTAATTTTTATCTAAGATCCATTTTCACATTTTTTACGGCTCAAGTCAATAAGTTATCACCTAGACTAACTGATAAAAGTTGAGTAAGCAAGAAAAATGAGCCGGCAAAAAAAAAGCACGGAGCATCTCTCGAGTTGGCCCTGGGCTTTCGAGAGCCGGAGGCCATTTGTTATCGGCGGCTTCCTTTGAAGTCGCCGCCCGCCGCCTTTTATCCCTTGTCAGCCAATCGATCTCCAATACACTTTTTTTCTGCTTTTTTCCTGAGATTCTGGTATTTTTGGGGCCTGGATGAGTCAGGTAAGCGGAGAGGGATTTTAAAAAAGATGCGAAAAAATCCATAAATTTTAGTTGATTTTTGAAATTTGGTGGTTTTTTGAATGGGCACCATAGTAGTTCAGCTTGCTGGAGAATGGACTGGAAGGTTTTTTGATGCCACAGGGCTCAAATACGGTAAAAGTAGGTCTTGCAACGATTTCTTCCGTTCTGCGCCTATAAAAACTTTCCTAGTAGAGCGCGAATGGACTATAGGGCTTACTTTTGTGTTTTTTTTTCCAATTTAAGAAATAAAAATCCACATTTTTTTTCAAGAGTTTCTTGGATATCACAATAATCGAATAAGCTTTTCTCAAACCGATACCGGGATTTTTTGAAAATTTGGGTTGTTCAACTGTTTCGAGTGCAATAAAAAAAATTGTATTAGAAATTTTTCTCCTGATTATCATGAATATTTCTTGAAATTAATTTAGATTTTTTTTATGTTTTTGAGGATTTTTTTTGACGTTTTAAGATTAATTATGCTCATTTCTAGACCTTTATCCAGTAGCAAGGGTTTTTCGATGAATCAGGATTTTTTTCAAGCTTTTTCAGTATTCATCCTCATGTATTTTATTTTTTTTAAGTGAGAAATTGATCTTCAAAAGCTCAAAATGTTTTTATTTTCAAAGGCTTGGATTGCATGTGTTTCACCGCGTTTCTTCAAGCTCATTTTTTAAAATTTAAGGAATGAGGCTGAAAAAAGGCTTTTTAGAACCCTCTAGGGGCCACTTGAAACGCGATAAGCTGCAAATTGCTGTGGTCATTGACTTGTAACCGTTTTATTTGGATTAAAATCCTTTTGATTTTTACTATATCCCCTTGAGTGACCACTTGGAACCGTACCTTCTAAGATTTTCATTCAACTTTTCTTTCTTCTTGTAACCTTGGAACGTGTTGTTTTACATTTCCGTTCTGATCAACTTTTCACAAAAGCTTCTGAAAATAAAGTCATTTTTTCATAGACCGCTGTGATGATTCTATTAAGGGAGTTGAAAATCTGTTCCTCCAGTCTTTTTGAAGATTCTGAATGCTCGAAACAGTTGGATTTACTACTGAAAAACTGAAAACCCCTCGTCCTACCATAACCCGCCGCCAAAACGCTCCCTTTCGATTCCGATCGATTCGGCATGCTGTTGAGGCGATTCGATTCGCTCCTCCTCGCGGCAAAAGTCACAAAAAGGCAAAACCGAACGTTGAGCGATGTTTATCGGCGTCGCAAAATATGGAGGGACACTGTTTTGTACGAGGAAAATTCATTCATTTTGGATGTCGAGGAGCTTTTAGGAAATGATAAGGTGGTTTGTAGCGAACTTTAAGGTCTTTTTAGAGATTTTTGGAGTTTTTTGTAAGATAAGCCTGTTCAAGAAGTGTTCCTGATGTTGAACAAGGTTAAGCAGAGAACTTGATTTAATGGGATTTTGGTAAGCTTCACGGCCTTTCTGAGCTCTTTTTTAAGCTTCTCTGATTTTTCCCAGCAAGTTAAGGTTATCTGGGAAGCTTTTTGAAAAGTTCTTATATTATTTTCATGAATTTTTGTAGTTCTGACTTTAGGTTAAGCGGAGAACTCGATTATAGAAGTTTGTTAGGTTTCACGGCATTTTTGAGCTTTTTTTTAAGCTTCTCTGATTTTTTTTTCCCGTTGATTGAAGTTATCTGGGAAGCTTTTTGAAAAATTATTTTTTTAAAATGAGTTTCACGGCATGTTTGAGATTTTTTAAGCGTCTCTGATTTTTTTCCCCGCCAATCTGGGAAGCTTTTTTGAAAATTTTTATTTTTTTATGAGTTTCATGAATTTTTGTAGTGCTTAGGGAGTTGTTGAGCTCTTTCCTAACCGTTCTGGATTTTTTTTTTCGAGTGTTGCTAGAAGGTTTTTAAGCAGTTTTTCAATGCTCCATGGATTTCAGTAGGTTGTAGAATAATTTTGAAGTGTTTTGAATTTTTTTTTCACTGGAAATTTAGATTTAAAGTGAATTTTTAACTTCATAACGCTTCGGAAAGGGTTTTCGGACCGATTTTCCAAAAATTTCGGTATGAAATTTCTTTTCAAGACGAGCCAAAACATTTACATACATTGGAATAGTCATATTGTTCCTTTGTGATGCCGTAAAATGTACATATGCGAAAATATACACGAAGACACACGGCAGCTGTCCCGTGTTGTCGTCGTCGCCGCGGCGGCCCTCATCTAATCTCATGATTTACGGTAGACCTTACACTCGGCCGTCGGTTTTCCTTAAGCCGACGACGAACCTTGGAATCCGAAGCTTCTTAAGCTTAAGCTTGCAGGCTTGTTTGAGGTGGGGAAACTGGCCTGGTGGATTTTTATCGGATCAGGAAAAAAGTTGAAAGTTGGGACTTGTTAGAATCAAAGTTGAGGATTGTATCAAGATCTGGTTTGAGCTGGATGGAGCTTGATTAGATTGGATTTTTCTGATTTGGAAGTTTGAGATTGAGCGCTTGTGATTAAACTTGTCGGAAGGGGGGAGGGGGTTTAGCTGAACACCAGGTAAAAACGATTTCTAAGCTGAAGGTGATAGCATGGAGGCTGGAAATCCAGAATAGATATTTCTTCGAGGGTATGCTTGGAACCGCACGCAAGCATAAACAGCTCAAGCAGCCGACCAGAAACTACTTACGCGCGGCGATTTTTTTTTTTTAACTTTGAAACGTTAACATCGCCTCGAGCCATTCTAAATGCGGTTACTTAGAACTTTAGTTCTTCCTGACAGAAAAAAAACTTGGAAACCTACTGCCTCCCAATTACTTACTGTAATCGGTTTTCCTGCCGAAACAGGTCCGTCCACATACATTTTATCATTTATCAACTTTTTTCCACAGTCATTTGATAAAAAAGTTGAGAAATGGGAATGAGAATAGGAAGAGAGAAATCACGCGACGTACCTTGATAAGTTCGCTGTGATAATGATCGATTAGTGGCGCCTGTTACCGTAACCCTCCTGATTTCTTGGCTTTTTTCGTGTCGAGAGGTTGATTTTTCGGAAGTAGGAATGTTTGGTTTATTGAACTCGTGTCCGAAAAATATAATGAAATATCTTGATACTTGCAAAAGTATTTATAGTTGATCCGAACCCTTCGAAATGTAATAAAATAGCTTGAGACATACGCTAGGAGGATAATTATATGTGTAACAATTGCGGAGCGGTTTTCCCAAAAACGCACCCGACTTGAAATGACTTACGCCCCGTTGCATAAAATAGAATTTTTGTGGATTTATGCTCTCGATTCCGTTCCTGCTCTTCGCAGAGGGGATGATGATAAACGATTTTTCCAAAACGCGCCCGACTTGAAATGACTTAAGCCCGGTTGCATCGAAAAACCTTGCAAGGTCTGCTGTTTGACCATTGAGCCATTCCAAGTGCGACCAGGAAAAAAGTACTTTAAATCTACAAAGGCTTTACGAATTTTTATGTGAATTTTGTATTTTATATGTATATTTTCACTATCAGAGACGTTGACTTCGATTATTTTTTTCCAGGATTCAAAGGAAAATATTTATAGTTTAATGTTTAAAAGCTCTTCCTGGTGTTTAAAGGAGTGTACCCAAATTTAATAGGTCTTGAGACGAAAAGCCGTTTTTAGTTTTCTGAAGCTTCTGCGCCTCTGAAAAACTAACAGGGCTTTTTCCGGATTTTCCTTCTCTTTTGACTTTACCGTAACCATATTTGTGGGAAAGAACAGTTTGCGGTTCCTCCGGCAACACGGAGGCATCTGGCAAGGGGGAGGACGGAAAAATTGCGGAGCCGCGTTGTCGCGACCTGACAAAGACAAGTGACTGCGGCCAGTGGCCGTTCTTCCTTTTTCTCTTCTTTTTGGGGGATTTTCGGGTTACTGTCAAGTAGAATAGGATGTTGTGGAGAAGAAAAGGAGATTATGAGATGGAAAATTGAGAAAAAATGATTTTATGATTTTTTACAATTTTTTTTTGAGGGATATAAAGTGGATGGATTAGTGACGGGAATGAGAAAAAAATTGATAAAATTGGATGATTTTTTTCTCCAGTTTTTTTAACTATTTTAGCGAGGATGTAAGATGCGAAAGCGCCTTTTTTTAAGGATATTCAATTTTTTTTGGTTTTCTGTAGTCTGGAGCGACAGATTTCAAGAGGAAGACTGAAATTTCGACCTTGAATAATTGAAAAAATACGATTTTATATAAATTTTGTATTTGAGCCATTTCTAAGGATTTTTTTTTAAATGATAATCTTTCAGAAAGTCTTCTGAGAATTCTGGTCCTTTTTTGACATATTTTCGATTTTTATTGCTCTGGATGAATTTTTTGGCTCCTAATCATCAGAATTCGTCCTTTTTCCTTTCCTGGAACTTGCCGGAAGTGAATCACCCCCGTCAGGTCATAAACTATAACTGTACTCGCTGAGAAAACCTGATTGTAACTTGGTTGTTGGGCGAAAAACAGAAAGATAGCACGGCTACCGTAACCCTTTCTCCCTCTTTTTCTGCTTGGCCGCCTTGCAGCCCTATCAATCGATTGATTGTTCGGCCGTTCACAGAGGTGTGATAGGGGTTTTGAGAACTTTTAGAAACGTTTGAGAGAAGTTGGAAGCTTCAGAGGTTTTGTAGAAGTTATCAAAGGACTTGGGAGTTTTAAAAAGGTTCTTGGCATAATTTTAGAAAATCAGGAAGCTTTTGGAGTCTGTGTGAAAAAGAATTCGTATAGAAGTTTTAAGGGCTCTTTGGAATTTTTAGAGGAATTTACGGACGTTTAGAAGTTGTCTGGAAGTTTAGAGGAATTTACAGACTTTTTAGAAGTTGTCTGGAAGTTTAGAGGAATTTACCGACTTTCAAAAGTTGTCTAGAAGCTTAGAGGATTTTACGCGTTTTTGGAAGTTGTCCAGAAGCTTGGAGGAATTTACGGACTTTTTAGAAGTTGTCTAGAAGCTTAGAGTTTAAGGGCTCTTTGGAATTTTTAGAGGAATTTACGGAAAAGTAATTTAAGGACTTTTAGAAGTTTTTCAGAAGCTTAGAGGGATTTAGGGACTTCCAGTAGTTGTCTAGAAGCTTAGAGTCATTTACGGACTTTTAGAAGTTGTCTAGAAGCTTTATTTCAAGTTTTGATTCTTTTATTTTCACTTACCCGTCGTATAAATTTATCATTAGAGCTTTTTTTAAAGTTATACTTTTAAATGAAATCAGAGTTTTACTACTCGAAAAAAAGATGATTTCGAGTTAAGCTCCAACTGTATATTCTTTCAATTTCGCCCGACCGGAAGTAATATCTAAATTTCGATAGGATATGAGGATTCGAAATTGTTGAGATGAAGATACATTTAATTTTGGGAGGGAGATGGTGGCGACGAAATTGAAGCCATTCATCAGCGACGCCGCGTGTCGCTTGATTTGTTTCCACCACCACCTTGGCCATATTTCCTATGGATTTTTGAGGGTCTGGAAATCATCGTGGAGATTATGAAGGGTTATAGTTCATTAGGAGGGCTTCTGGCTCACTTTGTAAGATTTTAGAGCTGAGAAAACCTCTGAGGAGCGGATAAGCCTTTGAGCTAATAGCCGAATAAGCCGTTTTAGGCATTTTTTCCTTTTTCGTGATTTAAGACTCATGAAAGCATGAAAAACTTGTCACATTTTTGGCTTTGTTTCAGTTGAAAAAATCTCAAACTGACGACTTTGAAGCCTTCTTTTTTATAATCTTCAAGATCTTCCACACCTCAGCCTTCTTATGAATTTTAAAGGGATCTTTTTGGAAGTTTATGGAACTTTTCAGTCAAGTACAGCATTTTTCACGAATTTTTGAAGTTTTCTGGGTTGACATGAGCTTTTTACTCTTTCAGGTCTGTTTTTGTAGATTTTTAAAGGAAAAGAGAATATTGAAGGAATCTTAGGAAAGAACGAAGTTTCAATAGAAAAGGTTGTTAAGTTGAGAAGACGTAACGCTAATACGATGACGTCATCGTCGGTGAGAAGCTTGCGTAACTTGGAGAGGACTCGATCCGGAGAGTGCCAGATTGACAGCGGAGATCCTTAGCCACTAGACTACAATGAAACCTTGGGATCGAACTTGATAGGAACTTATCCAAGAAAAGAAGTTTGCAAGAAAAATCAGCTTGTACTGTTTGACGTCATAGGTAATTTTCAGCCACTTGACTAGGATTCATTCATCTTCATTCGAGTATTTATAGTACCACTTATCAGAAAGTTACGACGATTTTCAGTTCTGTAAAGAAGCTTTGAAGTGGTGCGCCACGCTGTTGACATCATTAAATTCGATCCAGAGACTCCTAGCTTGACAGAAAACATCCGATTAGTACATATCCACAACAAATGACGTCATAGACAAGCCGAGTAGCTGTCTGTCAGTGGTACGTGTCGTGTGTGGGTACACGGAAGATGACAACTGACAGGGGCAACCGTCGGGTCGTCGGGGCTTACAACGCGCAAAACTCGCACGTCGTCCGTCTTGTCCGCTCGTGTCGACGGCGGCGGCTCTTTTGTCCGTCTAAACTTGTCACTTTGTTGCTCCTCAACTTTGATTTTTTGTGTCAAGGAGGTACAGTAGAGCTTTGATAATTCGTTGTTTGAAAAAAAAAAGTCGAGGATCAAGTTGGAAAATTTGAAGAAATTGATTGAAGTCGTGTATCATTGGAAAGGTCAAAGCTGGTAGAATCGATTGGTATAATCACTTTAACTGTTAATTTGGAAGTTCTGCAACTTTGAAGGCTTTTGTTAATGATTCCTTATCTCTTTACCGGCGGCTCTTTTTTCCTCCGAACTTGTCACTTTATTGCTCCTCAACGAGATTGCGATTCTAGGGATCACTTAAGAGTTCTGACACTACTAGAGCGGTCACTTTTCTAGGGATCACTTAAGAGTGCAGACGCTACTAGAGCGGTCAATTTTCTAGAGATCACTTAAGAATTTTGACGCTACTAGAGCTCACTCTTCTAGGGATCACTTAAGAGTGCTGACGCTACTAAGGTGGTCACTTTTCTAGAGACACTTAAAAGTTCTGACGCTACTGAAGCGGTCACTTTTCTAGGGATAATTTAAGAGTTCTGACGCTACTAAAGTGGTCACTTTTCTAGGGATCACTTAAGAGTTTTGACGCTACCAAAGCGGTCACTTTTCTAGGGATCACTTGAGAGTTCTGACGCTACTAAAGTGATCACTTTTCTAGAGATCACTTAAGAGTGCCGGCGCTACTGAAGTGGTCACTTTTCTAGGGATCACTTAAGAGTTCTGACGCTACTAAAGCGGTCACTTTCCTAGTGATTACTTAAGAACCTTTATAAATAACATAGTATATTTTACCCAATTTTCAGGTACCAAAGGCGGCGAATCGAAACGAACGCGGCAGACCTACTCGCGGAATCAAACCCTCGAGCTTGAGAAGGTTATTTTTTATTCTATATGAAAATGATAAATGTCCGCACTTTCCAGGAGTTCCACTACAACAAATACTTGACGAGGAAACGAAGGCAAGAGATTTCCGAGAGCTTACATCTCACTGAGAGACAGGTTATTCATTTTTCTTCATTTGACAGCATTTGAATAAATGGCTTTATTCATCGGTTACTGTAGAAAAGATTCGTGGGTTACTGTAAAAAAAATGTTTTATCCAAGAATCCTTATCAATAATTGAGTCAAGACCAAGTTACCGTGTGGAAGAATTTGAAAAAAATTTGATGAGGCTAAAAATTAGGCATTTTTCCTAGTGTCTTCAGGTCCATCAAATTTTCGAATTTCAACCCCTTTTTTCCCAATTTTCCGAATCCGTCACGCTTTTTCAAAACATGGTCTTTGTCATATCTAAACAAATTTTTTTAGGTCCAAAAAACCTCAATAATTGAGTCAAGATCAAGTTACTGTGTTTGAAAAAAAAAATTAATAAGGCTGAAAATTAGGCATTTTTCCTAGTGTCTTCAGGTCCATCAAATTTTTGAATTTTAACCCCTTCTATCTTAATTTTCCGTATTCCGTCACGCTTTTTCAAAACATCGCCTTTGTCATACCATGAAGAGCCCAAAAATGCGACAAAATTTGAAAAAAGAACGGGCTTCTCGTGTTTGATTTTGCCGACGGCGGCGAGATCAAAAACCCGCCGTCGGTCGGTTGCGCCGCTCCTTTTTGCCGCACATGTTGCCACTTTTGGGCCTTTCAAACGCGCCGGAAACACATGTGTGTGTTCCGTCGAGAATTTCAAAAATTTTCACGATTTTTGACGTCTTTGAACTAACAAAGAAGGTCATTTTACTTTTTGGTTGGGAATTTTTCTGAAACTTTGCCAGAAAGCTTCTTGATGTACTATATATAAATACTAGAAGTCTGAACCTGCAAAAATGCCTAGTTTTTGAGAGAGGAGACCTCAAAGTCAAAAGAAAACCTTTCGAAATCCAAAAATCGGCTATTTTTGGAGCTTTGAGCCCTCATTTCTCCAAAACTAGAAAGTTTTGAAGGTTGAGACTTTCAGAGTCTTCTCCTGGTACATCGAGAACTTCACTTGCCAATTCCTGAATCGCTAGGTAAAATGACCTACCTGTATTGAAAGAGCTTGTAAAAAGAGTGCTCTTTTGAAAAAAAAACATTTTTGCTCCTCAAAAAGGTTACAAAAAGGACACTCAACAGCTTCAGGTGAAAGTCAGTTTTCTTGATGTGCTAGATATGTATAACTTCTAGAAGTCTGAACCTGCAAAAATTCCTAATTTTTAAGAAAGGACAGCTCAAAGTCAGAAAAATCAGTTAAAATAGCCTATTTTGGGTCTTTAAGCCATAGGAAGTTGTGCAGGTTGAGAAATCCAAAATTTTCTTCTGGTACTTCGAGAATTCAACTGGCCGAATTTCAAAAAATTCCTGAATCGCTAGGTAAATTGAGCTACCTGTGTTGGAAGTACTCGTGAAAGGGGTACCATTTTTTGAAAAAAATAACATTTCCCTCTTCAAAAAGGCTATAAAAAGGTTATTCAACAGCTTCAGGTGAAAATCTGGTTCCAAAACCGGCGAATGAAGCACAAGAAGGAGAGCAAGGGCGACGGCGAAGGCGGCAACGGGAATGAGTCGGACGAGTCGACGCAGGACGACCGACCGCAACCCTAAACAGACCACTTGGAAGTCTCTAGGCCCCAAGAAAACCATTCAGGAAAGACCCTCGGTGAAAACTTGTCCCTCTGAACAAAAACCGCAAGAATTTCTCTTCATTTTCCCAGTTTGAAAGCTCTCGTCCCGGTTTCCGACTAGAATCTCCATGCTATTCGTGTTTTAAGGTTGGTTAACATGAGCAATAATGAGCAAGAGCTTCGAATAAGAATCCTGTAGCATAGTTGATATTGGGTATTTTCTCCAATCTGAATAGTCCAAAATAAATGACGTCACTAGGATTTTTTCAATGATTTTCTGTCTGATTAGAAAATGAATCCACGAAAATTTCACATTATGACGCCAAGTTGCTCATGTTAGCCAATCCTTCTCATTTATTCCTCTTCTAATAACTTTAATTGCCATGCTTTTTCTTCAGCCATCGTTTCCCTATTTTCACACTTTATCAGTTGTCGTCCTAATCGACGGGTTGATTTCACCTGCTGTGCTGTATAGTTCCTCTCTAATTCGCTGAGCATCAACTCTTCCCTTTCCCTTTTAAGTGGTCATTTAAGCGTCCTCTCCGCGTCATTTCGTGACGTCATTCATGATGATCTCGCCTTTTGAACTGAGAAATTTAATCAAAATTCGAATCATTTTTTTTTTCTTGTTTCATATCAAAACGGTTTTCCAATGTTAATGCACATGTTCGACAAGATTTTCTCTTCTTGTGGATAAATTTTTATTTCAAAACTATTTTTATGAAAAAGGAGGATTGTTTATTTCAAAATTTCAGAGAAACTGTTATAAATCGTTCTTTCTTGATGTCAGATTTTCAACGATCTACGGTTAAAAAGTAAGAAAAAAAATTTTTTCAATGACCAATCAACGGATAACCTATATCATTAGAAAGCTGACATCAAGACGAATCGAATGATGTAAACAGATAAGCCGTAGCTGCTCTCGGAGCCGAGATACGAGCTTTCAAAGTTTGCAATAAAATTCGAATAGGCGTCAGATAAAATGCATTTGGTGCACTGCACCACGGTGTAATTTTCTCGCAAAAATGGAAAAGCTCGAAATTTTTTTCGTATTTTCGGGGTTTTTTCTACATCAATCGATAGACAAGCTTCTGTATATTACAGTCATCATATCACTTTCGAGTAATAAGGTCTAAAACAGAGCTAAAAATGGGTCCAAAAAGTGACATTTTTCAAAATTTGAAGTTTCATATCTCCTTTCGTTTTGCTTTTTCAGTAATATTTATTATATCAATCGGTTTGTCTTATCATCAGCTTTCGAATGGTTCAAGTCTTCAAGAGTTTTGAGCACTTTGGAATAATATGGCCAACTTTGAAAAATCATAACTTTTTTTCTAGACGCGTCAACACTTTTCTGATTGCATTTTCGAGTACAGGACGTCATTATCTATCGATTGATGTGAAAATCTGGGAAACTTTGGTTTTCGGGAAAATCGAAAAAAGTGCAGTCTAACCCCTTGGCTTTTTTTCGAGCTTCTGAGGTCATGGAAGCCGATCCAGACGAAACCTATATCAATCGATAGATCTCGACGAGAAAATAACCTGAGACCAGGTTTGACCTCTGTAGGTCAACTAGGAACTAAGTTATAAGCGATCAAACTGAGAAGTCAAACATTGGAAAGTAGGCCAAATTCAGTATCAATCGATAGAGGAGATCAAGGAAATCAATAAAAACTAGGTCTCTAAGCTCCTAACCTCCTACGGATCGAGTTATGCTTTTTCGAAAACTTCAAAAAATCATAACTTTCATTCTAGAAGCCTCAGAACTTTTCGACCTGGATTTTCGTTCTTCTGACGTCATTTCCTATCGATTGATGTGAAATTCTCGGAAACTTTGGTTTTCGGGAAAATCGAAAAAAGTGCAGTCTAACCCCTTGGCTTATTTTCGAGCTTCTGAGGTCATGGAAGCCGATCCAGACGAAACCTATACCAATCGATAGATCTCGACGAGAAAATAACCTGGGACCGGGTTTGACCTCTGTAGGTCAACTAAGGACTAAGCTATGGATGATCAAACTTTAGGATAAATTCTCACAATGAGTCGAATTCATTATCAATCGATAGAGGAGATCAAGAGGATCAAGAAAAACTAGGTTTCGAAGCTCTTTAGTTATTAGGAACAAAATTAGGATTTTTCAAAGTGTCGAAAGTTAAGCTCTTCGATGGAGCTCAATCAACGGATAACCTATATCATTAGAAAGCTGACATTGAGACAGATCGATTCATGTAAACAGATAAGCTGTAGCTGCTCTGGGAGTCGAGATACGAGCCCTCAAAGTTTGCATTAAAATTCGAATAGGCGTCAGATAAAATGCCTTTGTTGCACTGCACTACGGTGCAAATTTTTTGCCAAAAAGGAAAAGCCCAAATTTTTTCGTATTTTTGGGGTTTTTCTACATCAATCGATAGAGCAGCTTCTATATAACAAATTTATCATACCACTTTCGATGAAAAAGCTCAAAAAATGGATGAAATGTAGGTCCAAGAAGCCGTATTTTTCACATATTGAAGCTTCATATCTCTGTTCCTTCCAAAATTTCCGAAATACTAATTGTATCAATCGATTCGCCTTAGTGTCAGCTTTTCAATTATCTGGTTCCGCGAGAGTTTCAAGCACTTTCGTTAAAAATTATCAAACTCTAAAATACGATCCGTATTTCGAATTTTACATGTTACAAACCGGTTTAAAAACGTGAAATTCCAGTTTTCGTTCAAGTAAGAGAGACAGAGCCAAGGTAAGGGGGTGGTAGCAAAGATCTTATTTACCGATAACCTCTGCGCGAGATCGTAAATAGTTCCAGCTGTAAATCTACCAAGGAACTGCCCAGTTATACCTTGGCGACCTTTTCGGCGTTCCTTTTGGCCTTATTTATTATAAGCTCGTAAATATGTCGGGGAGGTTGGAGTTCGTCCAAATCAGTAAATCGGGGGTATCCGAGATAGATATCCGAGAAATATCGCTCTAATACAGAGAAAAAAAATCAATAAAGCGCGTAAATTGTCATAAAAACCAAAATACGGTGGCGAGTTACAGTACTACCTTCCCTTTTGAACGAAAAAAAAATTTCGGAAAACAAAGACTGATGAATTCTGGTCTTTCTACACAAGCAAAAATGAAACCAACTACATTATTAAAATTATAAAGATTCTAAAAACTTTAGATAATCATGAAAAAAATCCAAAAATCCCCCGCTTATCCCCCTCCCAAAAATCTTATTGAAATATCCCCTCCCACAAATTCTAATTGAAATCACCCCCCCTTCTAGTTGAATTTTTTTCTCGCCTTCCAGCTTCTAATTGGAATATCCCCTGCCCCTTCCACAACAAAAAATCCCCCTCCTCCCACCCCCCTTATTCTTATTGAAATATCCCCCTCGCTCAAATTCTAATTGAAATCCCCTGCCCCCCAACTTTTTAGTTGAATTCTCTCCGCACCCCTCCAAAATCTTATTGAAAAAAATCCCCTCCCCCTAACTTCTATTTGAAATTCCCCCTTCCGTATCAATCCCATTCATTTCCAACTCAATTTTGACTCGATTCAACATGTGTAAAGCAATAAAAACAATGGAAGCGGCTCGTAAAAGCCCTTCGTGTTGTTGAACATCCTGTCGTAAACGAACAAATGGCCATTCTCGCCGATTATCACAGTGTTAATTTTGATTGATGCGTGTCTTGCAATTTATACAAAAATAAATCAAAGAAAGGGAAAAATTACAAAATAACAGCAGAACCGGCGGTATTCCGTTACAAGTTTTTCCATGATCTGAATTTAATAAAAAAAATATCGATTCGAAAAATCTTGCAGCTGAAACTGAGGCATGTCGCGAAATGAACCATCCACTTCCTAGAATACAACAATCATTATCAAAATGAAAGAAAAAAAGTAACGTATCTTGCAAAATACAGCAGAATCCAGCCACCAGAGCGCATTTCCTCGAAACAATGAAATGATTAAAAATTCGATGAGAAAAAGCCGCCCCCCACTTTAAAAAAACATCATTTCTTTTGTTTCAGACATTTCTGATTAAATGAATCGAAACGAAGACATTTGAAAAGATGACTATCAACTTATCTCGCAACAAGAAGCAAGGAACAAAAGTTCCGATAAAGTTCGGATTACGACTTCAGAGCCGTTGATCGAATTCTATCTCTCCTCAAATAAATATTGCGATAAATCCTGCGGGGGCTAGGGCAAAACGGTAAAACTTTTTCAAAAAAGTCTTTTTAATTTTTAAATTGATGATACGACACAATCCAAGTCCGCAAACCTTGAGGACCGTTTGACTGTGTACGCAGATCCATAATTTTGTAAACCACAATCTTGGAAAGCCAAAATCATGGAGACTACAATCTTGGAAGGCAAAAAGGTCTCATATTCATATTATTTCTCGCACTTTTTTTTTCTCTTTTTTCGATCCCCGAAAACAATTACTGATAAAAAAGCGATGATTTTGGCTTTCCAAGATTGTGGTTTACCAAATTATAGATCTGCATACACAGGCTTACGGTTCTCAAAGTTTGCGGACTCGAGATTTTGTCGTATCATCGATTTAAAGTGCAACAAATAAGACTAAAAAAGAGTTTTTTGCTTTCCAAGATTGTGGTTTCCAAGATTATGGGCTTTGAGATCTGCGTACATAGGCTTACGGTCCTCAAGATTTGCAAACTTCGAATTTTGTCGTATCATCTTTAAATCATAGCTTCTGTTGAACTTCAAGGGAAAAAATAAGCAAAAAAGTGACTTTTGTCTTGAAAATCTGTATATTCGACTTAAAGAAAACTTGAGCTTTTTGGGCCGGCCATTTTTGATCGAGGCTTTCCTAAGGCCCAGGTCGGGCTTAAAAATGGGCGGTTCTTAAGAAAGTAATAAGTTTTCTAAGAGAAGCAAAATGACTCATCTCGGAAAATGTTCAGGAGACAAATCCATGCCTCAATGTCGTGACCTCTAGCAATTCGCATGTCCTTCCTCAATCGATAATA